CATGGGTAATAAATGATTTTTGTAATGTAATATATTGGTTAATACTAGTTCTAATAACTGGACAAGTTATGTTTCTATATAATAAGTAATTCATTTTTGTAGTAGTTTAAGCTCTTAACGTAACATTGAATAGTTTAATCGCATTATTATTCCATTCACTTTTTTACATCTTTTACACTTTTGACACAAATTATTACAATGGCACTTCAGAGTTTGAGGTTATGATTACATATCTTTCACTTTCTCGCAAAAAATTGTTTGGCACACGTTTATAAATACAGAACAATAATAAATATATTTTTTATTATCGTTTTCAAAAGGACATTCACTAAATATCACACATTTTATATAACTTTTCTTTATTAGATATCCGAATTTGAATCAGTGTCTATCAACTGTCAACTTCATCGCTACCACCATTTTTTTTCATTTAGTATGTTGGTTCTCCTCTTGTCTAATGTCATGGAACATCATGCTCTATTTTCATAGATAATAAAAATCAACTAAATAAAGTCAAAAATGTGTATATGATCGGTTAAAATAATACAATTAGTAAGTACCTTGTTATTCTACATAATCTTATAATTCAAAATGGTTTTTTTTATATAAAGTTTGCTTACACAGATCTAAAACGACAAAGAACCGCTAAGACATTGAACCAGTAATTCACGCGAGGCACATTTTTATTAAAATATAGTTATTTAATTAGGTAAGTATTTATTGAAGATAATTTAAATTTAATATTGTGCAGCTTGCGAAAAAGTTTATGAAATAATTCATAAGTTTGTGTTAAAGGTTGCAGATTTAAAAATCGATTCATAACCTTAATTTCATCTTTATATATAGATTATGCAGTTATATATGTACATATACATTTTTGTTAGAAGTGATCATTAAACATTTGCATGTAGTTTTCAGAGTGATTTCAATTAAGTTTTGTACAAATTGCACAAAGTTTTGATAATGCAATAACTGAATAAACTATTAGATATGCTAATCCAGAACTATGCTCAAAATATTTATATCTTTGCACCATCTTTCACCTTTAAATTGTTCTTAAAAGAACCAATAAGATCTATGTATTATATTTATCTCTATGTTCTATTGTTATCCATTATTTTTCTTCTAGTTATTGTGTTATATAAAATGGAAACCTCCACGGTGGCCGCCATCAACTTCCCAAGACAATTTAAAGAAGCCCGATGTTTCCCCAGTTGCGGGTGAGAAAAAAAATGAAGAAATCATAGCAAACTTTCAAAGACTCCGATCTGAACAAAGAGGCTTAGCATCCAAACTGAGCACTTTAGAAATAGATCTAAACGAACATAAAGTTGTTATCGAACAATTAAAAACAGTGGATCCAGATCGAAAATGCTTCAGAATGATTGGTGGTATTTTAAAGAACGGACTGTTAAAGAAGTTCTTCCAATATTAATAAACAATACAGAACAACTCGGTAAAGTGATAGAAGCTTATAATAAAAATTTAATGGAAAAAGGCAAACTTATAAATCAGTACAAAGAATTGCATAATATTAGAATTCGGGGGGCAGGATGAAGTTTTGCCGGAGGAAGAAAAAACGGACACACCGAGAAATGTACTAGTTGCTAATAATTAGTCATTATATAGTCACCGACCCAGTTCACATTTTTTGTTTTAATAATTAAACATTACGAATGCATTGATTTTCTGAACATGAAAAAAATAAATCATTTATCACAACATATATTTATTATACTTTTTTGTCTGCTTGGCTAAATTTAGCATTTGTAAATATTGCACATTAAATTTATTATATTATTTACGCTTTAACAAAATATTTGTCACCAAAAGTTTTATTATATGTTGAATCATATGAATAAAATTAAGACAATACTTGAGACATATTTTTTGTGCTATTGTTTTATGGCTTTTTTCAAAAATATTGTGCATTTTTATTAAATATAGTAATTTCAAATAACAAAAATGTGTTTTATGACGGAAATCAATTGAAAATGTAATTTAGAAACTATTGGAAATGAAAAACAAATAAAGGCATAATAAAATTACATGCAATGAAATATTATGTTACATATATTTCTAGCAAGTAATAAAGTATGCCAAAACTATATACATTGAATACAATAATTGTCAGCAAAAGCATTAAAAAGTATGAAATTTACTCAAAGTCTAAAAGAGATTTAATGTTTTGCTTTTCGGTGAATGCAATGTGAATAAAATGATTTGATTGGTAGTTTAAATCAGATTGTTATCATTTAGTTTGTACTGGATTTATTGACAAATCAATAGATTTATAAGTTTTGACAAATTGTGTACAAAAGTTATAACAAAAATATTTGCTAAGTAAGTCAAGTTTAAAAGAAGAACATCACTTTATGGGTTGAATTTTAATATTTTTATTATAAATGAAAGCAAATTGGATAAAATTATATAAATAGCAGTTTTTGAAAAAAACATATAATTAATTTTGTATGACAAATTGAGTACACATTTTGAAATTATGATCTTACTTTTTATAAATACAATTTTATTATAAAAAAAAAATAATTTACTTAAGTAAAGTTCAGAAAGGAATTATCATTATATTCACACATTCAATTTTTCTGGTATTATGCAAATGAAAAGTGGATAATTTTTTTTAAGTCCAAGAGATCCTTATCATTATTATCATTTGATATACTAAATTTATTTACAAATAATATGTATTTACTAATAGTAATTATATTATTATTAGTATAACATTTAAATAGCAGTTTAAATCAAATTATTATCATTAGTACTATTTTATTGACTAATGACTAATTAATATATCTATAATTCTGACGAATTGAGTACAGTTTTTAATTTATAAAACACATTATTATTTGTCATATATAAATATTAAATTAAATTCTGTTTTATGTTTCAATAAACCGTTTTTAATTTTTTTTTAAATTTGTATAAAGATTTAAGAAAATGAGGGGTTTGACAAAAATCACTAGTAAAGTATGATGTCTATTTATTTTTTACCCAAATTAAAAAAAAAGCAATATTAAAAAAATGGGTGTCGGAAAGGGGATTTAATTTTAAATATTACCTAATGAAATATTTAATTATTTAAAAATTAGAGAGGATAAAAAAATCTTTAAAAAGCAATTACGTTACGCACCCCCAAATTAATGTTAAAAAATATAAAAAAGTTTTTGCTCGAATTTCAAAAAAAAAAAATTAAAGCTTTAACATTAAGGTACGGGATTTTCCAGCAGTTTGCCTTAAAAAACTATATCATGCAATACTAGTTTATTAGCTGAATTTTTAAAAAATCCAAAATTTTTCAAAAAATAATACTGAGTTGGAGAAAATGCATTGATTATAAATATTACCAAAAAAAAGATGGAGTCCAAAAATCCTTAAAAATCACGTGATTAATAATGCCATTAAAGTTATAGTAAACGCAAAAAAATCGAAAATGAAAATTTTTATAGATCTTTACGTTTCAAAACCTTCTGAACATTTGGGCATATATTAGAAAAAATTGATGTATGTGTGTATGTGTGTGCGTGTATGTATGTATGTTCGGATACAAATTTTCGTCGACGATTTCGGGAACACGGATCAACCGATTTGAATAATTCGATTCGTATTGATAAGGAGACGTGCTGATTAGTTTTGCCGAAAACGGTAACTCAGTTTTTAAGAGAACGGAGCGTCCGATTTGAATAATTCAAAAAACATTTTATTTGTATTGACTAAATGAAGAACTGTTCAAATTTTTGAAAAGGCAGGTCCAACGACTTTGGAGATATGGAGGAAAAAGTAAAAAAATGAGCCATTTGGCGGTCAAAAATGAACATTAGACATATGCACATCAAATTATCAGATATTTTATAGAGATTTTAATAATAAGTATAAATTTTGTTTACATTCCTATGGGTTCCGTACCATTGTTTACGCGTTAGACGGCGACGCGCAGTTACAGCAGTACGATTGCTTTGAAAAAAAGTTCAGAATTTCAAAATGAATGATTTAAGATAGAATGATTTAATATGGTTCGAAATTCTATTAAAGTTTCAAATCATTGATCAACTTTTATTGATTATTATTATTGTTTATTTTTAATTACTCGAATTTTGAATTGTGGTACGGGAAGTTCCAGCAATTTGCGTTAAGGCACTATGCCCTAATTGCCTCAAGATAGAATTCCACTTACAGCTAGTTGCATTAGTGAATAGTTTATACGACTCCGCAGCAATTCATTTTCCAATTAATTTTGAACTGAAAATTATTCCCTCCGCCACTGGCGCCCATCGACCAGCTCCACTTGTTCCTTCCCGCCCTCGTCGTGTAATCTTCGTCTTTCTTTCCGCCTTTGTTCGTGTCCGCGTACGTGAAAACATTGCAGCTCGCCGTCTGTCCTGTCTGTTCACTCTGTTTCACTGTTTCTCTTCTTGACGATCACAAATCGCGGATTCCGTTCTAAATGTATGTCACGTCGGACATTCATTAAAAAAGTGATTAAAACCGAAAAAAACGCACTAAAGATTATTTATTAATTAGATTTATGTGTTTATGTACAGTAATTAGTTTTCCTACAAGTGCCCTGAACTTTTGTGATAATGTGCTGTGTGATGGTGCAAAAGTTGTGAAAAATATTAGTATAAAAGTGGGTGAAGATTGAATAAAGTATAAACAAAGGATTTATGAATAATTAATTTGGTTATAAACAAAGGTATTGTTTTATTATTATTTTATTATCTATATTATGTTTTTTTTATATTTGTATGCGTGTGTTGAATTGCAATTGCGAATATGTTCTCGCGTGTTCATGTGACATGTAGAGAATATGGTTATGGCGGATATTTGTGATATCGACAGTGATTTTTTAGTATTTGTGTAAACAAATTTTAAATTTGTTACATCATTGTGGTTTTGAGATTTTTTTAAGGTCTGTGCCTAGATAATCGGTATAGAAATTATGGAATGCGACGTATCTAATAGTAAAAGTCTGTCAAGGCAAGACAAAGGTTTATTTTTTAATGTCTGCCTTCGTTTATTTATATTTAGCAAATTTCTTGAACCACAGAACTCTATATTATGTAAATATTCAAATTCACTAGTTACTCCCCTTTTCAATTTATTTAGGTTACTTTTTAAATTAAAATCTGTTTTGTTTTTTTATCACTTGTCAATTACCTCCAAATAATTACTGTAGAACTTGCAAAAAAATAATTCTGCAGAAAACTTTATTACTTTTAGCTCGGAAATAGAGTTCTTAATAACAATTTGTCCCTTTTCACATTTAAAATCAATGCATTATTTATCTCCTTTCAGTTTATTTGATTATGCAGAATTTGTCTTGTTTTATCTTCCTTTGTGACTTGTCAAAACTTAAAAAAACAAAACATTTTGCTTGCAAGTAGAGTTTTTCCTTTGTTTCTTTATATTTAGCAAATTTCTTATACCACAGATCTCTATATTATGTATCATATGTAAATTCATTATTTACTCCATTTTCAATATATCTAGGTTACTTTTGTAAGCAAAATCTGTCTTGTTTTATCTTTTTTTATTAGTTGTCAATAACCTCCAAATAATTTATGTAAGACTTGCAAAGAAACAGTTCTTCAGGGCACTTTGTTACTTTTTGCTCGAAAGTAGAGTTTTTGACAACTTTGTCTTTTGTCTACATTTAAATCCCGTTTTTAATTTATTTAGATTTTTTAGGCAGAATCTGTCTTTTTTTATCTTTCCTTTTGTCTTGTCAAAAACTTAGAAGAACAGCAGGAATTGCTAAGAAACCTTTCAAAACATTTTGCAAGCAAGTAGAGTTGACATGAGTTTTTCCTTTGTTTCTTTATATTTAGCAAATTTTTTATACCACAGAACTCTATATTATGTATCATATGTAAATTCACTAGTTACTCCCCTTTTCAATTTATTTAGGTTACTTTTTAAAGTAAAATCTGTCTTGTTTTATCTTTTTTATCACTTGTCAATAACCTCCAAATAATTACTGTAAAACTTGCAAACAATTCTTCAGAACACTTTTTTTGCTCAAAAGTAGAGTTCTTAATAACAATTTGTCCCTTTTCACATTTAAAATCAATTCATTATTTATTCTCCTTTCAGTTTATTTAGATTATGCAGAATTTGTCTTGTTTTATCTTCCTTTGTGACTTGTCAAAAACTTAAAAAAAAAACAGTAAAACATTTTGCTTGCAAGTAGAGTTTTTCCTTTGTTTCTTTATATTTAGCAAATTTCTTATACCACAGATCTCTATTTTATGTATCATATTTAAATTCACTTTTACCCCCTTTTCAATTTTTTAGGTTACTTTTTTAAGTAAAATCTGTCTTGTTTTATCTTTTTTATCACTTGTCAATAACCTCCAAATAATTACTGTAGAACTTGCAAAGAAACAATTCTTCAGAACACTTTATTACTTTTAGCTCGGAAATAGAGTTCTTGACAACAATTTGTCCTTTGTCCAGATTAAAATTCACTAGATATTTATTCCATACTTAATTTATTTATATTTTTATGCAAACCAGTATTGTTTTCTCATAAAAGTATGCAAGTCTTGTGACTTGTCAAACACTTTGTCAAAAAATAGTAGAATTTGAAGATACAACTTTTCAAAACATTTTGCAAGCAAGAGTTTTTCCTTTGTTTCTTTATATTTAGCAAATTTCTTATACCACGGATCTCTATTTCATATTACATATTCACTATTTACTCTTTTTTTATTTTATTTAGATTACTTTCTTTTAGCAAAATTTGTCTAGCTTTATCTTTTTTACCCAAAACTTCCAAATAGTTACTCCAGAACTTGCAAAGAGCAATT